CACCAAAAAATCGTGATAAGAAATATTACTTACTATCTTGGTCTGTTCTAACAACAATTGGATCACTGGCATTTCCATCTCCTTTCTCAGTAGATGCAAACACTGTGATATTGTAGTTGACGTATTCCTTTAGATTTGTCAATTCCGTCTGACGAACAGAGTCATTTACTTGAACACTTCCATTGTCATTCTCTGTTTGTGACTGGTAAGTAATGTTGTAACCCGTGATGATACCATTCTGTTGCTCAGCCGAAACTTCATCCCACGTGACTAAGATGCTGGTTGAGCTGCTGTTCTGTCCTCTCACATTTTGTGGAGCACCATCAGGTTCTGACGAAAAAAATTGTAAAACCAAGTTTACTAAAGGTTTAATGACCCTTCATAACTACCATTATTTACTTTACAGAGGTACTTAAGGGCCCATTAACCGATTTATGCGCGCGCTCGCGTGCGTTGCTAAGGAGGTGAAATTTTACTTCNGATTTGTCAATTCCGTCTGACGAACAGAGTCATTTACTTGAACACTTCCATTGTCATTCTCTGTTTGTGACTGGTAAGTAATGGTGTAACCCATGATGATACCATTCTGTTGCTCAGCCGGAACTTCATCCCACATGACTAAGATGCTGGTTGAGCTGCTGTTCTGTCCTCTCACATTTTGTGGAACACCATCAGGTTCTGACGAAAAAAATTGTAAAACCAAGTTTACTTAAGGTTTAATGACCCTTGATAACTATCGTTATTTACTTTACAGAGATACTTAAGGGCCCATTAACCGATTTATGCGTGCGCTCGCGTGCGTTACTAAGGAGGTGAAATTTTACTTCCGGTTACTTACGTCAGCCTGAGCGCCGAAAATAAAAACAACTCAATAACTTCCAAATTCGCTTACATTTTAGACGCTTTTCTTTGTGTTTCACAAAATGCAAAGTAAAAAAAGTACAAGCAGAGACAAAATAAGAAAAAGAGAGAAAAACAGGAGCAATAGAAAGAGAAAAACTAACTCCGTGTCGCTTTGTTTNTAAAAAAAGTACAAGCAGAGACAAAATAAGAAAAAGAGAGAAAAACAGGAGCAATAGAAAGAGAAAAACTTTGTTTGATCCTACCGAAGTGTGCTGGTAGTGTAAATTGCGCACGCGCCGATAGGGCAACTTCCAATATATATCGGACGCACTTCCGGTTTCTTTAAATGCTAAAGGAAACTCGGTTTTTCATTAATCCAGCCTTTTTCGACGGATTTCGATCAAAGCCAACGTTAGAAAGATAGCTATGCACTCCTTTTTCAAAATCATGCTTTTTTCAGAAAATTACGAATTTTTTAATATTTTGAAATTCTCTCAAAATCTGACCT